GTGAGGTCTCCTTTTGGCACCAAGCCCAGTGCAGTCTAGAAGTTTGGCATCTTTTTTTTTTTTTTTCTTTCCAGTTTGCCATATTCCTTCAAAATTTAGAAAATGCTGTTCTCCTCTTTTTTCAGGCTGCCAAGGGATGAAATCCTTTGATCTTTCAACTAACTTTAGTGCCCTTCTCCCAGGAGAAAGATATGACAAAACACATTGAATTTATTCTCCCTTCATATAAACACTGAATAGTCTTAAGACAAAAAGTATCTAAAGACTTACTACATGTTTTTGCTACAAAAAAGCAGTACACCTGCTCCAGTTTTTTGAAAATGTGATAGTGTGATAAATTGTAAGTTACCACAAACATTTAAAATAAGTGCCCGAGAGGAGGGGGATGGGAGCGGAGTCAGTAGAGTGCTGCATGAGCATGAGGACCTGGGTTTCTATCCCAGCAGCCACATAAGAACCAGGTGCAGTGACTCATCTGTAACTTTAGCACTGGAGAGGCAGGAGAGATGGATCCCCACAGTTTGCTTGGCTAGCCAGACTATGAGCCACAGGTCCCAGTGAGACCTTGTTTCAAAAAAGTAAAAAACTTCTCCATCATATTCACCTTTCCAAAACAGCAAGATATACAGATGTCAATTTACTTCATTTTAGAACTGACATATTTTAGCGAGTAGCTAAATCATTACAAAAACTTCCTAGTTTCCTAGGAAGAGAATTATTCATTGAAAGAACAAGTGGATTTTAAGACTTCTGGTAGAAAAATAGGGAAATTCACACCCTCTCACCATTATATCAGAATGCCAACCTCCCTTTACTAATTTCACATGTTACTGATAATTGCCAATGTTTGGAGCTGCAAATAAGATCTCAGTGTTGTGTATATTTATACTGTTTCCTAGTGATGCCGAACAGCATGTCTAATAGTAAGATATTGTTTGAAGTGTGAAGAGAAGGGGAAGGAAAAGATAAGAAATCTTTGGTTATTTTAATGATCATATTCTGATTTCCATAGTTAACATATGTAAAACGGGGGGGAAAAAAAGTAAGGAACAGTTGAGAAAAACACCCAGTGTCAACCTCTGGCCTCCACTTGCATGTGCACACACACGGACACATATAAACACAAACACACACAGACACATATATACACATACAACACACTGATTATTTTATTAAAATATATACCTGAATTGGGGCTGGGGAAATGGCTCAGCAGTTAAGAGCACTGACTGCTCTTGCAGAGGACCTGGGTTCGATTTGCATCATCCACATTGTGGCTAACAACCATCTGTAACACCAGTTCCAGGGGATCAAACACCTTCTTCTGACCTCCATGGGCATTGCACAACACAAGCACACTTACACACATGCATGCAATATACTCATACACATAAAATAAAAATAGTAAATAAAATATTTTTTAAAAATAAAATATATACCTGAATCACAAATTCAAGGCCTGCTTCAGCTACAAAATAAGTTCAAAACCATCCTGAGCACCTAGTGAGTGCTTATCTCAAACTTTAGCACATTAAAAAAAGTAAACTTTGGGGCTAGAGAGATAGCTCAGCAGTTAAGAGCACTGACTGCTCTTGCAGAGGACCCAGGTTCAATTCCCAGCACCCACATGGTGGCTATGAACCATCCTTAACTCCAGTTCCAGGGGAATCCCTCTTCTGACTTCCACAGCATTGCACGACATGGGTGTACTCACATACATGCAGGCAATACACCTGTACACATAAAATAAAAATAATAAATATTTTTTTAAAAAGGAAACTTGCCTAGCATAATATATATCTAAGCATAGTAACTAGCTAACTAATAATATATAATACTATGTATACTGTATATAGTGTTTATATAGAGAATATGTGTGCATGTACATACACATGTAAAGTATATGTATTTGAAGTTGCTCATGGATAAATGTTGATGTAATGAACAAAACCTTTTCTACATTGCTGTGAACCACATTTAGCCCCAAGTCCCTGCTTTTCTTATTGGGAGTCTTTTGTGGTTTGAAAATGAAATGTCTCCCATAGGCTTGTGTGTTGGACACCTGGTCCCCAGCTGGTCACACTGAGAAGGTTGTGGAACCTTCGGGAGATGAAGCCTTGGTAGGGGCTGCCCTTAAGGTTTTGTAGTCCAGCCCACTTCCTGTTCGCCCCCTGCTTCTTGAGTATGGAAGCACTGTGTGCAGCTGGCCCCCTGCTGCTGCCAACATGTCTTGCCTGCCTCCTGCCATGTCTTCCTTGCCAGATGAACCATCTCTTTGGACCTGTTAGCCAAAATAAACTCTTCTTGCCTCAGTTGCTTTTGTCAAGGCATTTATCACAGCACTGAGAAAGGAACCAAGAAAGAGCACTTAGGATTTGACCTTCCTTCACACAAAGGTAAAAACTGTTTAACAACTAAGCAACAGCAAAAAATTAAAAATGGGTAAAGAACGTGGATAGACAGTTCTCCAAAGAAGTTGTGCAAATGTCTAATAAATACATGAAAATTATATTGCTCGTTAGTAATCACTGGAGAAATGCAAATGAGTGAGACATTGCTTAACATTCATTAAACGAGGGTGGGGACTACAGAAGAGGGCAGGTGTTGAGGATATAGAGAAATTTAGAATTCTTGTGCATGGCTGATGGTAGGAATGAAGAGTGCAGTGGCTGTGGGGAAGGAATGACAATTCTTGGAAACTTAGAGTTACTCCACTTTTGCATCTATATCCAGGAGACATGAAGCTAGGCCTTAAACAGGTGTTTTACCATGTGCTGCACTATGGATGAACCTTGGAACATTATGCTCAGGGAAACAAGCCAGTCACAAGAAGACAAATATTGCATGATCTTATTTGTATGAAGTCTCTAAAGCAGGCAAATTCATAGAGACTGAAAGTAGAAAATAGGGAGGATAGGTGGGGCAAAGCAGGAGTCAGTGTCTACTCCATACAGTGTTAGAGGACACTATAATAGTTTTAATGATGGTTGCACACTGTGAAATTCCTTAGTGACATGGAACTGCACATTTAAAATAGTGACGTTTATGTTGTGTGCATTTTACCAAAATTAAAAGAGAAAAGTTGACTGAAGAGACCTATCCAGCAAGAATAGTACAGAGGCTTTCTTTGGATACTCATGTAAGCGGTTTTACAATGTTCTCTGAAATAGGGGAGTTGGTGATATTGATTGAAATTTGAAGATGTTAATGAATTACAGGGTGTGTGGTGTGTGTGTGTGTGTGTGTGTGTGTGTACACAGTGACTACTTGAGAGGGAAGGTAATAGTTCTTTTAAGAGATACAACCTGGGGGCTGGAGAGATTACTCAGGTTAAGAGCACTAGCTGCTCTTGCAGAAGGCCCAGGTTTGGTTCCCAGCACCTACATGGCAGCTAACAACCATTCTTAACTTCAGGTCTGTGTGAGCCAGCACCCTCTTTTGGCCTCTTATGGCATTGCATGACACAGGTGCATTTAATGTACATGCAGGTAAAACATACATAAAAATAAATAAAAATTTTGCTGCTGGAGAGATGGCTCAGCAGTAAAGAACATTGGTTGTTCTTGCAGAAGACCCAGGTTCAAATCCCAGCACCCACACAGCAGCTAACAACTGTATGTAACTCCAGTTCCAGGGGATCCAATGGCCTCTTCTGTCCTCTGTGGGCATTGCACAACACAGGTGCACTTACCTACATGCAGGCAATATACTCATAAAATAAAAATAATAAATAAAATATTAAATAAATAAATAAAAATTTTAGAAAGGAATACATCCTAAAATTTTGACTTTGAAATGATATGACGTGGAATTTGTTTCTAAATAATCTAGTGAGCCAGGCATGGTGGAACATGCCTTTAGTCCCAGCGCTCAGGAGGCAGATGCAGGTAGATCTCTGTGAGTTCAAGGTCAGCCTGGTCTACATTTTGAGTTCCAGGCCAGTTGGGTCTACAGGGAGACCTTGTCTCAAAGACCAAAAACAAAAAAATAATAATCTAGTAAGAGATGAGAATGGAAGGAGGTATAGATAAAATTAGACCTGTCATGAGATGGTAATTACTGGATTTGAGTTTTATTTTATTATTATCTAGTATAATAATACATAATTGATTGTCATATTCTGTGTGCTTTTGTATATGTTTGCATTTTTCATTATAAAGTGTTTTCAGTTGTAAATTGTACATTTTGCTGTGGTCCCAAGCTTCTGGTCCAGAGGAAATTTTTTAGCTCCTCAGGAAGCTATTCTTTTTAAGTTCTGCTTCTGTATCTACTGTAGTTCTTCTCACAGCAAGCAGCATAGAATCAACACAGTCTAATCGAGCAAGAGACCAGATGTAGAACTAGCTTCTAAGCTAGCCTAAATCAGAGCTCAAAAGTCACCCAGTATCCATTTTTCAGGCCTTCCAACTAAAAATGAGCTCAGTTCTTGGGCTCTCAATTATGCCTAGCTGTGACCAGAAGGTCACTTTGCCCATGCCTTCATATTCCTAAGTGTAACTCTCAAATCAAAGTCCACTCACCCCCAAAGGAAATCAATGACCCAGCAATCTCAGCAGAAATCATATGGTACCATTCTGAGTGGCCCAAAGTAAGTCATGAGTTGTCCCTGAAAGAGAAAGGAAGTCATGATGAGTGAATTGTCACATTTTAACTAGTATAATTTGACTTTCCATATAGCCAGTCTATGTGACCATAATTTTTAATTTCCCTCACTTGAGGTATTATAAGTAGGAAAATTTAAGTCTTAATTACTTAAAGTACAGATCAGACTTCTGGTGAATGCCTGTTACTTGCTAAGCTGCATCTATTTCCCCTGTGTGGGTCAGTGACATCCAGAGAACAGAACTCAGTAGATATGTAGATTGTTATTGAAGCTCATGACCTACTCTCTGCAAACTGGAGTAAATTTCTTTTTATATATGTAAAGTATCAATATTAATATCTTCATGATTACCATCTATAACTCACTTCCTGATTTGTTCTTATTTTCTCCCTTTCAGGGGTAATTTCATATACTGAGTACCTTTTCTTGCTTACAATCCTCACTAGTAAGTACCTCATATCTTTTTTTAAATATTTTACTTTTTCTTTTAATTTAAAGTGTTTAAGTGTATTACCTGCAGGTATGTAAGTGCACTTTTGTCATGCAATGCCCACAGAAGCCAGAAGAGAGCATCAGAACTGAAGTTATGGATGGTTGTTAGCTACCATGTGGAACTCGAACCCAGGTCCTCTGCAAGAGCTGCCAGCACTCTTAACCACTGAGCCATCTCTCCAGCCCCCTATCTCACGTCTTTTTACAACCATCATGTGGAGTTCTTTGTTCTTAAGCAGCAAGATTTTTGAAATGTGACATTTATGTCTTTGTCATTAAAAATATTGGTATCAGAGCTGGGGAGATGGCTCAGTGGGTAAACTGATTGCTGCACAAGCATGAGGACCTGAGTTCAGATCCCCAGCACCCACATAAAAGCCAGGCATGACAGGCATGCACCTGTAATCCCAGTAGTGAGAGAGTGGGGGAAGATTGGGGCGGGTGGGGGACACTAGCTAACCAATCTAGTGACATAGCAAGCTCCAGGTTCATTGAGTGCTCTGTCTCAAAAAATAAGGTGGACAGCAATAGAGGAAGCTATTCAGAGTCAATCTCTAGCCTCTGTGTGTGCACCACAGATGAATGCATCTGCACACATATTTGCAACACACACACACCCCACAAATATTGGTACCTGAATTTCTACATCTACAAAATGATAATGTTAGAGTATCTTTTTAGGTCTCTTCTACCTCCCACATACCATGGCACCCAGAAACTATTCCCTCAACAGAAAGTTTATTGAACAGAAGATTCATGGTTAGCTTCCTCTTTAGGATACTTTGAAAAATAATATAATTTAACTAGGCGTTGTACAAGATTCCTGACTTATACTGTTCAAAAGCATGGTCATCATTGGAAACAAGGAAAGACCAAGGAAATTCCAGACGTGCACGGACAAGCAGACATGACAACTAGATGCAGCATGGTATCTTGCATGGGATTCCAAAACAAACAACAGTAGTGAAAAAGATAAAATCTATAGTTTGTAGTTCATAATTCTGGACCATTGCTTGCTTAGTCTTGAGAAGAGTACTGTGGGTGGGTATATAAAGATGTTAACATTAGAGGAAGCTGGCCAAAGAGTATATGGAACCCCACTGTTTTACATTATAGTATGTCTAAAAAAATGACAAAAGGTTAAAAAAGCTAAGAACGGAAATTAAAATGCAATCATTTCTATGCAAATAACGAGGGTACTGTAAGAATAGAAGAAAGCCACTAGTGGGTCAGGAGGTGAGTTCTCACATGAATTCTGGTGTGAAGGGAGAGCAGAAGAGCAGCAGCTGTGGGAAGACGCTGCAAGGCAGAGGTGAAAGCCTGTACATCAAATATCCACCCCTAAAAACTGTTTGAAGAGATCGGTATTTCCTTCTCCTGTAGCCCCAGCTGGCCTGGAACTCACTATGTAGACCAGGCTGGCCTCAAAATCACAAAGATCCACGTACCTCTGCCTCCTGAGTTCTGGGACTAAAGGAATGCACCACCACACCCAGCAAATTTGAGGGATTCCTAAGTGCAGATATTTAGCATTTCACTAACGTACAAGTAATTACTTTTTTCATTTCATTGCAGAGCCCCACACTGGGTTTCATGTTGCTTTTAAAATGCTGGATGCTGATGGTAATGAGATGATTGAGAGAAAGGAGTTTTTTAAGGTAAGTGCATGCTTGTTGTTTTAGGTTTATCTTAAATTAACACCAGATGCTTATGCAATAATTTTACATTTCCATAGAAATCAAAATTATATTCACTGTTTACATATGAAATATCAAGAAACATTTGTATGTTCAAAAATATTTTATTTTCTGAAATACAGTCTTGAGGAAATTAACAACTAATAAGAGCATACGGTTCTGAAAGGAGAAGTGAGCTTGAGCGTTTACATGTCTATGACTTCAGTAAATAATACAGTAAAAAGGGCTTTGTAGACTATAGGTGCTTTAAAGAATAAATTTTAGAGATGCATTTAAAATGATTCTTATACCAAAAAATGAATAAGAATAGTAGTAATGTGACCCTTCATGAAGAATAAGGGAAAAATTACAAATTATGGTAAATTTTCTAGGAATTGGATAAAGCTAGTATTTGAAAAGCTGCAGATATAGTTAAAGTAACTAATAATGGATTTTTTTCTGGACAGTTCAATAATTAGCAATAATATCAAAGAAATGCCTCCGTCTGTTGGTGTATGCCCATTGGGGTTAAATGATTTTCGTCAATTATAGATATATATAGTTAAAGTAATTAATAATTTTTTTCTGGACAATTATAAACCTCCAAACAGTAAATTCTGTTTCAAAAGTTGGTGATAGTATCAAAGAAATGCCTCAGTGCAGTTGGTGTGTGCCCATTGGAGTTAATGATTTCCATCTATTGCAGTACTGTGTGCAGAAAAAACATGTGGGTAGATACACACAGAGCTGAGCCTAGCATAGCTATCACTGATGACTAGCGAGGACATATGAATGATAACTCAAGTGTGTACATAAACCACTAATTTGTGACAGTTTTTTAAGAAGCCTTTGAGATGGTGCTCACTGACGTTGCTGGTGAGAATAAAATGAGAAAACAGAATTGACAGCTGCCATGAAAGTTAAATATATGCTTCACATATGACTTAGGAATTTTACTCCTAGATATTTAGTCAGAGAAAAGAAAACATATAGGTAGGTGTGGCTCAGGACTATAAGCCTAGTATTTGGGAAATTGAGTTAGGATGATTGCCATGAGTTCTAGGCCAATCCAGACTATGGAATGAGACCTTATCTCAAAACCCCCAAAAATACAGAAAACATAGAGATAGGAAACTCAGGATCTGTATATGAGTATGCATGCCAACTTTATTCATAGTAACCCAAAACTGGAAACAACCAAAATGTGTGTCAATAAAGGATGAGATAAACAAATGATAACTATGCAATAGAATACTGTTTGGCAATAAAAAGGAACAAAGTGCCAATAGACAGCAGCATGTATGAGTCAAGTGAAAGAGAAAGTACAACTCTTTGATTCCATGTATATGCAGTTCTTCGTATCTGTACTAGAAGAAAGCAGATCTTTGGTTGTCTGGGGCCCAGGAAACAGTATGGAATTGATTGTCCACAAACAAAGGAAGGAAGGAGGGAGGGAGGGAGGGAGAGAGAGAGAGGGAGAGAGAGGGAGAGAGGGAGAGAAAGGAGAAATTGAAATACTGGGAATACTTAAGATCTTAGTTACTGATGGTGCATGGATGTGTGAAAATGTCAGAATTCATGAGATTGTACACTTTACATAGGTGTATTTTATATAAATTATACCTAGTAAATACTTGTAACAAAGTTTTATGTCATAGTTCCTAAAATGTTTTGTTTTATACATGCATTTATTGTGTGTGTGTGTGTGTGTGTGTGTGTGTGTGTGTGTATGACTATCTCAAAGCCTTTGAACTAAGAGCAGAATTGTTCGCAATAGAGAATGAGCTATAAAACAGTGGGACCTTTCGAAAATTAGGTCTAGCGTGCTTAATGTCATTAAGAATAACCTAGAAGGGGTGTGTGCATCTAAGCAGGTGGGGAACCCGGGACCAGTGATGTGAAAGCAAGCTGGCAGTAGGGTGGCAGATGGAGTCTCAGGGCTAAAGTGCAGCAGAGACCACTGTACCAGATGTGACCAGGAATGGTAACTGCTCATGTTAAAAGCTTGTTAAAGGAGAGAAGAGGGACCTTTTTTTTTTTTTGGTCTTATTGAGACAAAGTCTCCCTCTAGCCCCAGCTGGCCCGGAACTCACTATGTAGACAAGGCTGGCCTTGAAGTCACAGAGATCTGCCTGCCTCTGCCTCCCAAGTACGGGGATTAAAGGCGTTCAAGAGAGGGATCATTTTTAAAAGATTAAGACACTAGGCTAGGGAGATCGCTCAGTGGGTAAGAGTGCTTGCTGCACAAGCATGAGGACCTGAGTTTAGATTCCCCAAGTCAGGTATAGCTGTACATGTATGTAACCCCCACACTGTAGATCCCAGGAGCTTGCTGGCCAGCCAGTCTAAGCAAAACAATGAACTTCAGATTCAGCGAGGGACACTGTCTCAGGGGAGTAAGACTGAGAGTGACAGGGGAGGACACAACATTAGCCCCTACACACAGGTACACACACCACATATGAGAGACCTATATATGAAACACATACTTAAATGTCTGATCTAGAACAGCCTTTCTTCAAGTTGGAGAGGCTGATTTAAATTCCTTGTTAATTTTCTTGCCTAAGTCTATCTATAATGTATTCTCTGCAGTTCCCAGTCATTTTCTTTAAACTGCATAAAAAAGCACCCAGGAGATTAAGACAGAAGAGTTACAGCGACCCTACCAGCCTGGGCTGTATATAAGACCCTGACTCAAAAAAAATTGATAAAATGCAGCAGATATGTAAAAACACTTGCAAGGCAGTCTGAATACAGAATCCTAGACGTCTATGAATTTTTTTCCAGCCTTTACAATCTTACCTTAAGTAACTAGAAGCAAATTTATTAGCAAATTTGTCACACGACTCAGAAGCATTCAATTCTTTATAGAAGTAGTTCTCTTCAGTTTCATTTTCCAGCAATAGGTAGACAGGAAGAGACTGAACATAGATGTGCATATGTTCCCCCCACCCTGCCCCCTGACGTGGCAGCATCCCAGCACAGGCCTTAGCGCTGCAGGGTTTCTAATGCTATGCTCCTGCTGTAGAGACTCCTGCCAAAGCCAAGACTTGTAAATTTATGTCTTTTTTTTTCTTGTCAGCACTGTGATTCAAGCCCTGAGCCTTACACATGGGCTCTACTCCTCTTGCTTTTTCAGTCCTTCAAGTCACACCATTTGTTTCTGTTGGTCAGCATTGCTTTAGTAGTGTCTACAAGACCATAGATTGAAAACATTTTACATAGGTTTTACTGCATGCCCATTGTGACAGTCATTTCAAACACTGAAGAAAAGTTGTCTTACTCTGGGTTATGCAAATGAAATAAGAAAGCTGGAGCGTTCCAGAGGATTGAAGTCATGTGAAATTATGCCCTTGGATAGATGAGGCTCCCTGTACTGGTCAGAAGAGGGAAGTGATCTAACAGAAATCATTTTCTTAAGGTGGTAAAAGTTAAGCTTAATACAAAACAATACAAAAAAATCTACTATTTAGCTGTTTGTTTTTTATAATCCAAAAATGTAAGAAATAAGAGTTTAAAAAACTTTCATTTCATTAGAAAGCCACTGTTGGGGATAGAGAGATGGTTCAGTGTTTAAGAGCACTGACTGCTCTTGGCAGAGGACCTGGGTGCTGTTCCCATCACCCACATGGCAGCTAACAACCATCTAAAACTCCAGTTCCAGGGGCTCTTGGTCTCCACAAGTGCCAGGCAGGCATATAGTACACTTAAATACATGCAGACAGACATTCATAATTAAAAATAAATAAAATCTTTTTTTTAAAAAAACCACTGTTTACAAATGTTAGAAAATTACCATTATTAGAAAAGCAAGCAAGAATTCTGTGAAGAAGTTGAAAATGGATGTGAACAGACAAAATTGAAAGAATCAAAAATTTCAGGTAATCATGACTTTTACCCAGATTCCCAGGTTAAAAAATACTCAGAAAGCTAGGAGGAAGTGAGGCATGGTGGCCCATGCTGTAACCCTAGCACTTTGAGGCTAGAGCAAGAAGACTCAGCTTGAAGCCGAAATCACTGTTTAGTATGAACAGTAGCTAAGCAGCCATTATTTATGACCCCTTGGAGAAGTTAATGTTTGGAGCACTTGTAAAGGCATTGCTGTTTTGCAGTACAGCTGAAGTGTGAGTCTCTGTTCCTACCCAATATAGGTCTCTAATATGAACTATGCTGTCAGGTGGAACCAGCAGAGAGTTGTTGGCACTTCAGTCTTTCAGGCTCGATCTCTGGCTGCCATGTAAAAGATGAATTCAATGAGGAGTCACTGAGTCTTGAAGCTCCATAGACTATTGCAATAGTTGATTTACATTTGTGAATAAAAAGTAGAAAAGTCAATAACTATGAAATCAAGAGAACTGTTAGGGATGAGGAAGTAAGAGGAGAGGCTTGTGAGCAGATATGATCAAGTGCCCCATGTATGTGTGCAGTGAAGCCCTGTACTTGGCGCAGTTAGTATGCAACTAATAAAGAGAAAGAAAAAAAGATTTAGGGACACCCTCTGTAACCCTTGATCCAATAGAATTAGAGGGATGAAGGGAAAGGAGGAATTAGTGGTCCCTGCTTTTCCCAAGCTCCTGACTAAGAATGATAAGTAGGTAGCGCTTCTGGATGAAAGGGAGCGGGCTGGTTCTTACTGAGGGTCGGTCATGTCTGACATGTCACATTTGAGGCCAGTAGAAAATAAGCTGTAGTATCCTCAACTTTAAAGATTAGAAAATTAGGGCCGGGGATGTAGCTCCATAGCAGAGAGTTTGCCTAGTTTATGTGCAAAGTTTGAGTCCTCACCTGGCAAAACAATCTGAAAAAACCCTAAGATTAAGAAATTAGTGTGCAATCAATTTTGCAACCATGATCTAAATGCAAGCCTTCCATTTTCAGAGCCCTGCTCTTTCCTCAGTGTCACCCTGCTTTATTTTAAGTAGAGGAGGACTGTGTTGAGAAAGATCTTGACTCCAAGCTTGGAAATGTTGAGGGAGATAAAC